TTGAAGTGAGAATTTCGATGATAAACTTGGAGCCAGAGTCCTTTTGAATAAAAACAGACTATAACTTTGATAGCCCTCCCAGCTACAGCCTCACAGTTTTGGCCTCGCAGTAGGTACATGACAACTTGTCTAGCTTTGAAAGCCCTTCCAGCTATATAAGAATATCAAATATTTCTTTGAAATAATGTTTCGTTTGGTCTGATCAATTTGTGACGCGGAAAGGAAAGAATAACTGGTTTTAAAAATGTCGGAAAATATGGTAATGGCCACTTCTGAACACCGATAGCGGCTGTGTGCGGTGGCGTTGTGTATGTACGTCTCTGCCGACGGTGGCGAGACAGTGGTGTCATGTCATGACATCCTACCGGCCGGCCGGAGGTCTATAGCCTTGGGCCGGTCTGCCCGTCACACCAAACAAACACGCCGGCGAAGTTATGTAAGCAGATTAAACACGGTACTGTACTAAATCAAAATTTTGAATCTAAAATTTCAAACAGATTTTAAACAAATGTTCAACAAAATGAATACAAGGCGCCAAGGATTGCCGTGACTTTCTACAAGGGACATTACGTTGTGAATTAATTAACCCTCGCCGGCATTGCTGTTTTGCCATCTGCTAGCGAACAGAGACTGGGGGTCTTTGAAACCCTATTTGTTCGGCTCCTAATAGAACTAGCACTTGCCCTGGCAGAGCATTTTTCATAACACGGCCTGGCAAGGGGAGGTTAATGCAACCCCCTTCTTGCGATTGGCTCCTATCCTATGGCACCTAGAAACACCAAATTTGGTAGGTAGGTGGACCCCCTGGAATTCTCGCCCCTGAGCAAATTTGGTTGCTCTAGGTCAATATTCAGGGGGTTTTTGGGGTATAAATGTAAAATTTCGCTAAAAAAGGTCAAAAGTTAACTTTAACTTTTGATCAAAATAACACAGAGCAAAAACAAAAGCATCAGTGAACTCAGCACGTCAAGGCGCGTCGAGTGATATACTTTTTTGCTTGCTGAAGTGTACTGAAAAATAAGCACATCTTAAGTACAACTTAAGTCTTAAGAATGGCCGAAATGCTTAATTTTGCATATCATTCGACTCGGCTCTTCAAGAGGAACAGAATGTACCATTTTGAAAGTTTTATCATTATTATGTGATAAGTTATTGGCAAAAACGTCATTTGACCTCAGTTGACCTCATTTGACCTGACCCATGGATAAGTACACCAAACAAAGAAGCACCAAGTGACCTGCTGTTAAGTACTGTAGTTTCAAAGCATAAAAGCGGTAGAACGAAGCGCATATCTCCAGTATTTTCCGAATTTAGTATTTTCCCATAGGCTTAACATTACGACGTAATGACCTCTAGGCTCTAACTGACCTCAGGTCAGTGACATAAAAAAATCCGAACTATATGTTATACAACTCGGTGAACTTAGCACAGCCCGAAAGTTTGAAGGAAATCAGTCTAAAACTGTGAGTTGGACAGGTGCAAAAAGAAAATTGAAATTTGACCATGACCTTGTACCGGTTTTTCTGACCTGGTGACCTGACCCAAGGTCATCTGGACCTGAAATTTTCAGGTCATATGTAAAAAGGTTGCCCCATAGGCTGTGCCAAATGTGGCGACGCTGCGCGTCACCGTTATTACGCTATCTTCGAAAAACCTTAGGGGGTCGCATCGACCCCCCCCCCCCCCACCTGCCAGGGCGAGGGTTAAAGGGACCCTCCCACCTTCAAAAAAGTCAATGAATTGGCATGAAAGTGATGTCGCTCGGTTCAAAAAGAGCAAAAACAAATATCTACCAAATTTCATCGAAAAATATTCACCGGTTTTCAAGATATTAGACTTTTACTTTTGTTTACTTTTTGGGATCTCCGCTGTTCCTAGCAACTTCATTTGAAAGTGCGGCATTTGTTGCGCGCAAAGCAGCATATACCACCGCGTGCTACAAAACGTTTTAGTCAAACATTTAAAAATCGTTAGATATCTGCGCTGACGTCACACATTCAGAGGGGTATTCCTATGCATTGGCCCCTCTGAATCAAAATGCTGCAATTTTGAAATTCAATATTTCCGATTTAAGGCATTTCTCGGTGTTGTGAGTGCCGAAACCGGTAATTGTGAGCCAGGGACCCCATTTTGGCTATCTCAACTCAAATCTAATGTTAAGGTGGGAGGGTCCCTTTAAAATATCATCGCAAAACATTTCATACGATATACAACGGATATATAACGGATATAATATATAACGGATATATGTAAGTTAAGCATATGAAATACTCCCTCCCTTTTTGCCTACCTGAACACGCCTATGATTTTCTAAAACTCTAATTTTTGAAACGTAGTCACACTATTGCTCATGAGAAAGCTAGCCTGAAAATTTGGTTGATATTGTCCATGTCCAAGAAACAACAACGTTCTAGACTTCAGAACAAATACGAAAACTCAGCGACTTTTGCACAATTATTTTTGGCTTTCTGTACGCCAAAACTTGCAATTTTTGTAACTTTTTTGGTTGAGTAATGTTGCTTTTGATTTGAAGAATTGGATGCTGCTTGTTCCACTGTAGTCGGTGGGTGGTTCTCGAGATATCAAGGTGTAACCAAGCCTTCCCTTACTACTCGCCAGCTGACCGTGACGTACCCCAGAAACAGACCAGGAATGTGTTACAAAAAAAGTTAACAACTCGACGAGTCGCAATAAGTGGCAGCTAATTTCTTCAGGATAATGACAACAAGAGTTATGCTATAAGGTAATGGGGTTTTTAATGCCGGATCCCGCTAATGACAAAAGTTGCGCATTGCCAAAGCTTAATTTACTGAATCGGAGCGATGTAATTGAAAAGGTGTAATGCAAATGATATGCAAATGCATACCAGCCGGTCTCGTAGCTCAATTGGTAGAGTGTTGGGCTCCGCGTGGTGAGAGCACGCGTTCCCGGTTACAACGGTCCGGGTTCGAAGCGCAACGGGCGCTTGACGTTTATGGGCCTCCAGACAGGTATGGTTGCGGTTGGTGGCAGGCCGTAGCCGCCAGATGAAGTCAGTGAGGGGACCGGCCGTGCGCGGCTATGTGCGCACGTTTAACTTTCGAGGCTCCAAATTCTGCCATTGAACCGGAATTGCGCGATCGGAGGGTAAAGGGGGCAGGGTCAGCGCAACAAGCTTCGCTTAGCGGGGGCTCTGTCCTTGTGAATCCTTTTATTCAAAAGGTTCGGACTAAATTTATAAAAAAATACGCAATTTCAAAACAAACTTATTTGGCATGACTGATGCTTGAGAAAGTATAAAGTACAAACATGAACTGTATTCAAGCGCATTTTTGCGATATCTCAGTCGGGGGAGGTTTGGTCAATCGTTGTCATTTTTAGCACGTGCTATTTTTGTCACACGTGCCAAAAATGGCAACGATTCTGCTATTTTTGACAACGATGAAGCCGATTTCACTCCTCAGCGAGGAAATCACGATTTTGGAAAGAAAAGCACTGATTTTCGAAAAAAGTGCTGCCATCTGGTGCAAGAAGAAGAAGCCAGCTTTAATATGCCCGTCGTTTGTATGGTAGTTTGTTTGGTGGCCTGAAGTTGGAACTTAAAATTGAAGGATCTGAAAATGATCGATATTGATCGAAAACATGATGTTTATGAAAAAATGATATGTTAAGTTGACAGAGGAAGTCATTTTATCCAGATGCGGTGGTTAACTTCTTGAAATTATTTTTGCTAATTGACGGCCGCGCATCATCCGTCATTGCATGGCGGTCGTCATGAACAAAAATAATTTCAAGAAGTAAACCACCGCATGTGGATGAAATCGCCTCCTCTTTCAACTTAACATATTCTTTTTTCATCAAAATTGTGTTTTCGATCAATATTGATCATTTTCGGATGCTGCAAATTGAAGTTCCAACTTCAGGCCACAAAAAGGGTATACGTCAACGTTGGACTACCATACAAACAACGGCCATATTAAAGCAGGTTCATTCTTCTTGCACCAGGTGGCAGCACTTCTTTTCCAAAATTAGTGCTTGTATTTCCAAAATCGCGATTTCCTCGCTGAGGAGTGAAATCGGCTTCATCGTTGCCAAAAATAGCTGATAACGTTGTCATTCTGGCACATGGTTGCCAAAAATGGCATGTGCTATAAAAATGACAACGCTTGACCAAACCTCCCCCGACTGATCAATGAGTAAAGGAGCACGCAACAACAAGAGTCGGGTCACGGGCCAAGGACAGATAGTTCAGCCTATCGAGCTTAGGTGGCGTTCAGATGGGTATGGTTTGGAAGTGCCTTACGTAATGTCAAAAATAGTATTGCTTTTCACCTGCTAGGATATCTGGCTACAAAATAAACCATCGTTCGGCTATATTTTTTAATTTGGTATCCTGGGTCCCTGAAGCGCTAGAGCGCCCGCCGCCCGGATCGCCTACTGTGCAGCGGTCAATTTAGCAATGACTGGGGAATACCTATGCATTTTGCAAGGTGGTGGTCGGTGGAAGGCGGGCGTTCTTATATATTACAAGCTGTCAGTCTAATTTTAAAAATTCAAGTAACGTTTCATAACTTAGGACTAATCTCAAGCAAAACATATGTTTCAAGGCATCGAGGTCACTAATGACGTCATAGGTCAGGTCGAAGAAAAATAACCAACATTTGGGCATGCGTATATCCATCGGAGATATGTAGCAACAGAGGATGTCCATTGTCCAATGTCCATAGAATTCATTCCGGGCGTTACCGCTGACCTAACAGCGGATGAGAACAGCCCTATATAGAGCCCTGGAGAACAGCAAAACATAATAATGAACTGGTAATGGAGCATGGTCACCAAGCATTAGAATAGCGACTTGTCCATACGTCTGGAGCCTCCCAGGCCATAGCCGACGAGTTGCGCGCCATGTGCGGCGCTGTGACAGCAAACGAATAGCGCTCATATGCCTGTCGACATTTTTCATTTAGCTGGACTATATGTGAACTCAACGTGCGGAGCCGCCGGTCGTTCTTTGCACGTACCTTTTTATTCGGTTGTCCGTTGCCGGGGCGTTCCATGGCTCAGTCGTCAGTTGGCGCAGTGTGGGAGTGCAGGGAGCCGGATGGCGAGGTGGCAGGCCGCAGCAGACCACCCTCCGCTGGACTCTGGAGTCAGGTCAGCCGACAGACGCGCTCGGGCCGCCGCTGCGGTATCGCTGCGGACGGGGCACGCGCAGGCCGGTCGACACCACTTAGAAGATGGCCGGCGCTGTCCATGCATTATATACGGCCCTCGCGCTGAATTAGGGCCCCCGGAGCTGTTCCCGCTGCAGCGTGAAGAGCCATCTACATTGTACACTGATACGAGGTGTTTATTTTCGCCAGTGTCCAAGGTCGCACAACAGCGCTCCGGCGTGGCAGGGCGCCAGAGTGCGCAGCTGGGTCGGCCAGCCGGCAGCTCGGGCGAGGGTCACGGGTCTGGTATGGTGTGCCGTGCGCCGACTACAGCGCCGCGCCAGCTCCGCTCGGCCGTGGGACAGGGCGGCGCGCTGAGCAGCGAGACGGCTACTTCACTGACCACAGGGCGTCAGACGTGGTCAGTGAAGATTTGTGAAGTCGTCAGAAAATTTGCTTGGTACCTTCCCGAGCATCAGTTTGACACATTCACACAAAATTTAAAATCTTAGGTCACCTTAGGTCAGGAGTTATTGAGGTCAAACTGACGTCATGTTCGAGCAAAAATGAGCAAAAAACATGAAATCTTGAAACGCTCACAAAAGCTACAGTTACCAAGCAATTTCAAAGTTCTTGATATGGTCATGTAGACAAAAGGCAGCGCTACAAAACTGCTATCTCGTTCAAAATTTTTGGATTTTGACCCCCAAAAATTAACTAATGATGTTTTTTTTAGAAAAACGCAAAAAAATACCAAAAAAAATCCGAATATCGAAAAACCGGAATATATGTGAGAGTCTTCATCCTCTTCTATCTACATACAAAATTGTAGATCGATAATACCTCCTTTTATGGCCAAGTTATAGCAAAAAAGAAACTTCGAAACTGATGACGTCAAATTTTTTAACTCAATTTTTGGCAATTCTAGACCACTTAGCGCAAAACAAAGACCACCATTGAACTCCTCGTGACGAGATGCATCGAATCGATACCCATTTTATGCAAAAATATCATCATTAAACTTTGACCTAATTTGACCTGACCTTGACCTGACCTTGACCTGACCTTGACCTGACCTTCACCAGAACATAATTTAAACTGACCCCAAAGGCTGTCTGACCCACATAATCGTATTTGGCATATATAATGGACCATAAAACATGCATCACATATTTTCATACTGTGACCCTCAGTGACCTGACCTCTGTGTCCTGACCTGGTATCAGTGACCTCAAAAAGCAGAATATTTGTTTGACGAACATTCCCCCACCGATGATTTTCAATGAAATGCATTTTAATCGATTTTACCACGCATTTCTTGAAATGCCTGTAAACGGTGAAAACTCGACCTTTGACCTGACCTGTGACGTCATCGGTTTGACCTAGGTCAATGAAATTGGGTCACAAGGTAGTTCCCTGGTAGGGCTATACAACACCGTTTGCTGCTTGTCCCTATGTTTCGTGGTTCTCGAGATCTTAGGGGGCAAACTGCCCCCCCCCCAGTAGGGCGCGTTGCTCGGCAGACCCCAGCGGGGCGCGGGTTAACCCTCGCCCTGACAGGGGGGTCGATGCCACCCCCCTTGAGGTTTTTTCGATGGGCACCGAACTATTAGTCGGATCGTGCTGATATTTCCTATAGCCTCTGGGACATCCTTTGTGCAACTTTTGGTTAGAAATTATTTTCGGGGCATGTCAGGTCACCGAGCTATGACGTCTTAATAGGTACAGCCACAGACCTCTGTATACCAGGTCTATGAGGTCTATACAGAGGTCTATGGTACAGCCTCCGACCGTTTTTGACAAAATCGTACATTCCGCGTAACTGGACGTGATCTCATTGACAAGAACGAAACTATTTCGTGCGATTTACGAGTATGTCAGATTTTGACAGGACATGAATCTTTACATTGTATATTGACCTTCCTAAGGTCAACCAAGGTCAATAACCTTGCATGTTCACACACAGACCTCCGTGATATGGAGCTGTGTTTGGTGGTGTTTCTTGAGGTTCTGAATCCGAATCGTCAGTTTTTGATGCTATTGTACTGGCTGTTATTGTACAATATTTAAGGGGAGGAGGGGGGGGGGCACCTCGCTATTGGTAGGGGAAGTTGGGGGAATGCCGAATACTTTTTTCTGACACCCGTAGCACGCAAGGTAGACAACATAAGATATTCTTGTTGGCGTCATTCGAGAGGCCAGTCTTTTGCCTTTCAAACATACCAGGCGCATTTGATGAATTCGCATACCGTTAAGCGCGCAAACTAAAAATATCAAATTAGTGACTTTTTCGGCGTTGCCCCGGACTGCGGTGAAAGCCGAAAATGGGAGAAATGATCTACGAGGAATGCCGACATTAATGTTTTGCCACTTTATCTCAAACTTTATCCAGAATTCATCAAAACTGACACGCGTTTTAAGGGCTTGAGGACGCTTGGTGCACACTGGAAGTTATAATTGTGTGATATAATAAGAAAATGCCAGGTAAATCATTCCTTATAGGTAGCAGGCCGTTGTGTCGGTTGAAAGTGTAATTTGTGTGACTAAAATAACGCGTTGCTATTCTACAGCAGTTAAGTCCATGTAGCGTGCTTTAACGTGCGTAATTGCACGTTTTCGGCATTACCCCAGCCAGCCATACTTTCATTTGCAGGCCCATAACTTTTAAACGTGCTGTATAAATCTCAAATAGGCAGCACACTTATGCAAAGACATGCTGAAGATTACTTGACCGAATTGGCCAGACAAACGGTAGCATAATGAGTAAGAAATGCAGCTTCAAAGGCGCATGTAGTACAAGGGAAACGTACCTTGAAAACGCTCTTGGCACCCTCACAGCCGAAGTGTTCCGAATGACGACTCGTAACAAACATGCGATAATTGTAGTCACTTAAGCTTCAGAACATCACTGACAGGTGGCACCCATGTCGTACAGTTTTCGAAATATCTTGAATTTCGACTTTGCCCTAACTCCGGCATTGCCTCAACTTCCCCTACCCCATTTCAAGAATCAAGGGGGCGGGGCACGCCCCCCCCCCTCCATTCCATTCCGCCGCCTATGCTGCGGGGTGCGAGTTTATACAATACCGGTATTCGTTATCATCGTGGTCGAATGACAGTCTTTGAGAAGCTGAGGCAACTTTGAAGTCGCCGCTGAATGCGTAGGTATAAAAAAAAAAAATACGTTTCGAAGTTCAAAAGGCCATTGGTAGATCGCTGTCACGGTGACTGCACGTGCTGTGTCCGTCATGATCAGTTCACTGTCCTCTCTATCGTTTACACAGGCTGACAGCTGTTTTTCGTTAAGTTTAGCGACGTCTAACCGGACCGTTCCGGTTCGATCCAGTTTGAACGAAGACGCAATAAGGCGCCGTCGGTCGGACGCGCTCGTACCTCGTCACCCGGCCGCGCCGGCGTGGCGCGGGCACGGGTGACGCGCCCGCCTGTACTGTGTCACACTGTGTGTCTGTACTGTGTCACACTGTGTCTGTGCTGTGTCACAGGTGGGCCTCGGTGGATTCAGCAGGGAGGGGAAACATGGCAACATTTAGATTAAAGACCCCTTAAGACCAAAATGTCCATTAGATACCCCAAAACGAAGCCGAGACGCACGTAACAGAGCTGTTACACTACAGACCAACAGACCAACAGGTGTGTGTGGGGCGGCGCGCGGCGCGCTCCAGCCCAGGGCATATTTTAAGGATTTTTTACTGCGTCCCAAAGGTGGCATAGGGCACATGCTTCGATCGGAAAGGGCACATACCACATTGCAAGCGAAATAATATACAATGCAGGTGAAATACACGTGTCATTGTGTAATGTGCCGGTGGAGGGACAGCAAGCGGGATATTGGGAGCGGGCTGTGATTGCTTTTGGCCAGTCTCGAAATTCGCCCAGTCATAGCGCGTTCTTTTTCCGCATTCAAAGGACGGACCGGCGAGTAAATGATATTTCCATTGCTGTTAGTCATTCGTTTTCCTGAGCGTCGTTGGGCGTGTTTGACCTCCCTTGATGCACCTAAATGTACCTATGTTTAGCGAATAAACATAGGTATGGAGACCCATGGAGGGGGGGGGGCTGATAATTAGTTGAGCCGGAATTGGGATAGAAGCCGGTATGGGATTGGGATAGAAGCTCAGCGAGACTAGAGATTGTGTGGTGCCTTCGGTACGCCCCTCAAAATCACCCGTGTAGGGCCCTCAGGGCCGCCGGTTATGAAGCCTTTGGAGGCACTGAGGTGGGCCCTCACAGGTACCGGTGTGATGCTCTCAGAGGCATTGGTGCGGGGCCCCCAGAGGTGCCGCTGTGGGCCCTCAGAGGCGCCGGTGAGGGTCCTCACAGTTGCCGTTGTGGGCCCTCAGAGACACTGCAGTGTGGGGTTGTCATAGTCGGGTGTGGGACCCTTAGAGCTGCTGGCTCGAACCCTTTACAGGCTGACAGGGGCTCTCAGAGACCGACAAGGGGCTCTCAAGAGGTCTGCGGTGCCTTCGGGAGCCCTGTGGAGTCCTTAGAGACCAGCAAGGTACACTCAGACGCCAGTGGGGCCCTCAGAGTCGTCGGTGTGGGGCCCTCAAAAGTCACCGGTGAGTGGCCGTCCGATGCGGCTCCGGCGTTGAGCCCCCAGAGCCGCCGATATGTGGCCTTAAGAAGCACTGGTTTCGGGACCTCATTCAGGGGTGCCGGTTGCACTCAGAGGTGGCAGTGTGGGGCCCTCAGCTAGGCACCGGTGTGGGGCATTCACAGCCGCCGGTGAGGGCCCTCGCAGGCGCCGTTGTGGGGGCCTTCAACCATTGGTTTAGGGGGTCATCGCAGGCGTGTGTGGAACCCTTAGAGCTGCTGGTCCCTGATAGGCCGGTAAGGGTCCTCAGAGGCCGGCAAGTAGCCCTCAGAGGTCGCCAATAGGCCCTGAGAAGCCGGCAAAGGGCCCTCAAAGGCCGACAAGGGACACTAAAAAGCCGATGTGGGGCTCTTATGGAGATAAGTGTGGCTCTTTGGAGCACATAAGGTGTTCTTTCGAGCCCTGTGGAGCCCTTCTGAGTCGAAAGATGCCAGCGTGGACCCTCAGCCGCCAATTGGCGTCGCAAGGCCCCTCTGGCCCGAGAGGCCCCCTGATCCGATGGGGGCACGTGCCCCCTGCTTCCCCTCCCCCCGGGTGCAGATGAGAATGCCATCGGCGGTGCGGAACACAACAATTGCAATCGTTCCTCCTCCCGTCGCGAGGCCGCTCATCCGACCCATATCCCATGATTGTC